GGGAAGTAAGTCGGTGCATTATGCCTTCTTTAATTTGCATATGTATGCTGCCTTTTTCGTAGGATTAATTAATGGTTAATTTTCTAACACAGATTACTTCCATCATATATTTCAACCAAACAAGGGATAATGAATTTGAATTGAGGTATGATTAGGATTGAATATAACTAATGCCCAATAAAAACAGAAGGGAGAATTATAATGATGTTTCGAGAAAAAAAATAATACTAAAAAATCTTAATAACAATCTGAACAATACAAGTTTTAAAGTAAAAAATAACAATTTGCAGGACGTATTTTGTAACTGCTTTTTTTTTTTTAAATCTCATTGTAATTCTCTCAAAACGTAAAAGGAAAAAGTAATTGGAGTTGAAGAGAGGTTGGAAGTGAAGAGGGAATGGTTCGAAGGCTCATGGGACGGGTAAATTTAGGCTAAAAGCCAACAAGTTTTGCATAGTCATTTCATTCATTCACAGTGAAAAGTTTTAGTTTTGACCATATGCATGATCATGATGCAAAGTTTCTATATGCTGGTCAGCCCCCTTATAGAATTCGAAACCGAAAAAAAAAAACTTAAAATATAGTACACACCATATTTTTTATTTTCAGTTTTTAACTAATTTATTCTCCATTCATGTAACTACATGGATATTATCTTGTATAATCAAAGAAAAAAGAAAAAAAGTTATCATTGCATACCCATGCAATAAAGTAATGAGACAGTAATTAGCAATTCTTAGATATTGATTAAAATTAAGAAGTTAGTGAAAAAATAAACTAAACTTAGTGCGGATTATATTATAAATAGAAAATATTTATAAGTAAACACGTGAGTGTGTCGATTTATGGCGGTCGATCCAGCTTTTGGAGCGCCTAACATGGATAAAAGTTGAAGAATATATATGCACAGAAGGGGGAACCTAAGAGTGAGTGAATAATGTTATTTAATGATGAATTGATATGAAAAGAAAAAATGGATGAATTACCAGACGATAAGGGAAGTGAAATGAAGTGAGTGTGTGTGTGTGTGTGAGCGCAATAAGTATAGATAGCAAGTTAGCAACCACTAATGTGGGCTCAAGGACTGTTCCATTTAATGCATATGCCCTCACATATATCTATTTATAACCTCCCCTTCTTGTCTTCTCTATCAAATCACTTTTTATTACGTGCTACATAGTACTCTCTCTGTTCATTCATGGCGTTTCATCGGTCTCGTCTCATCATCACGCTTCTTCTCTTTGCATTTGCTGAAGCTTCTGCATCCCAACTGCTCAGCGCCAAAGTCTCTTGCTTTGATTGTACCATTCCCAACCAGTATCTCTCTCGTAATTTCTTCCCCTTAATCTAACCCTCAACCTTCATTATTCGTTCATATATATTGTTGCATGTGTGTCTCTGCATATATATCCTCTGTAACATTAGGTGAGATTTAAATTTCTATGCTAAAAACGGAATGAGCTGGTTAACGTACTCGTTCAATATGCATGGTATTATTGAAATCAATAAATTATCTTATTCACTTATTTTAGTTTGATTAACACTTTTTTTTTTCAATATTGGTATGCGTAGAAGTAGAATTTCTTATAATCTTCACGAGTTTAACCCATGTAAAATAAAAATCAGTTACTTCGTCTATATTTCACACAAGACTTTCACGTGTGAAGGTATGTTAAGTATTAGGTATGTTAAGTATTATAATGTCATAAAAAAGATTCTTAATTAGTTAATTAGAATAAGTATTATTTCTGGCTTTTACTGGAAAACCTCCGTAATGCTAGGGACCATAATATTATTATAACAAACACAATTTCACTTTTTTTTTTTGTAGAGATTTCACTTATCAGATCCTTAATATAGAAGTTAATTTTGGAGTTGATGTTGATCTTATATATAAGACCTATTTTACATGTTTATCAATTTTTTTCCAAAAATAACCCCATTGATATTCCATAAAAAATAATCAAGTAGGAGAGAGCTAGAAGGAATTAAGAAAGATACTTAGGGTATTTTAGAAAAAAACTTATCATATTAACTTATTTAATTAAAATTTTGAATCTATTCAAATTAGTTAATTAAATCTTCTATTAAGGACTGAAGTAATATCGGAATATATAATACGATCTGCCCATAGCACGATCTTTTTCTGTATTAAAAAAATTCAACCCAACTTGCGCAGAGAAGCTTCGAGCTTCTGAATTGAAAACAATGATGAGTTATGTTTCTTGGTTGAATAATACAATGGTGACAGAGATCAAGGTCTCAGTGAAGTGCGAGAATGTGAGAAAAGTGGCAGTGGCAACCACAAAAGACGATGGCTCCTTCAAAGCGGACCTTCCAAGAGACCCCAAAAACTGCGTAGCAGAACTGCTTGGAGGACCCAGTCAGCTCTATGCTTCAGAGAAAGACAAAGTGTCCCCAGTCGTGAAGGGCACAGAGCCCAACACCTATACCATTTCCACGCCCCTTGGCTTCCTTACATCTTGCCCTAAGAACTCACTCTGTGAGGCCGCGAAGCAGTTTGGTGCGTCAGAAACCTTCGATCTTCCTCTTCCTCCGGAGTGGGGCTTCGCACCTTCTAGCTACTACGTCCCTTTCTTCCCCATCATTGGAATCCCTTAGTCATTGTCTCATCATTATATTATAACAAATGTGTGGTTATTATATATGTGTTTATGGTTATGTACTCGCACTACAGAACGTGCGATTTTATACGTTGTATTGTTCTATATGATGAAGCTGTCGGCTTCGTTATTTAATACTCTCTTGTGCGCTTTATCTTCTCCAATACTTCTAGTTCAAATTAAAAAGATTATATAGCCTTATGTCTTTAATACAAAAGCTAGTTAAGTAATTTAAGTGGATTAAAAAATTAGTTAAGTTAGTTATTTGTAATAAAAATGTGTTATCTTTCCTAAGATATATTTACTAACCAAACATATTGATTAAAAACCATTACTACAATGACTATTTTGAAACAAAATCGATAAATATGAGAAATAAAATAGATTGAGGTTATATATTTAAGACTAAAATAAAAATCAAACAAACTCTTATATTAAGAACCAGAACTACTATATATATGTTAATGGTTTCACTGCGTCAGGCATGCAGGTCGATCTTAACCTCCGGCAAAGAGATTAGAGAAGTACAACGATGGGTCCTAGGACCTGGCCGGCATTGATGATGGAAATTACCACTCATCGAACAATATGGGGGAAAACAGAAAGGACAGTAACATTAATTATAAACAAGACGTGTTGTCTATAGAAACATGTTGGCCAATACCGGCCGCAAAGCTGGAACTAGCAATCTCGTAAAATTTCTTAAAATATTACTCAATCTCTTAATATTATTGAGTACCTTTTTTGTTTTAATCTTGATTGTGCGTGTGTGTGTGTTTATAGTCTGACTCAGTCAAAGTTGTCGGCTATGTTCATGGCTGTGCTGATCTTCATCATCATGGAGCTCGCCAAAGTAGAATTTCACTGCTTAATTAACTAGTCGCGTGCCTTGGAATAATATAATGTGACCCGCATCTCATGTTACTTATATTTGTGTGATTCACGTTCCTTGGAATAATATAACATGATGTGTAGGTTTAGTTTGGTGGTAATTAGTTAAATGTGAACATATAATGTATATGTAGCTCATATATATATGTGTGTGTGTGTACGTACGTGTCGGGCCCTAAATTTGATTTTTCAAAGGAAAACTGGATTAATAAAAACATGGAGTCCTTGGATTTGGGAGTCAGTTGTGCGGTTGGGAAGATTTTAGACACCTCATAACACATTATTAAAATGATTGATTATTTAAGATGCATGATTGTGCAAAATTAATAAAACAAAATTATCCAGACATATTAAATTGTTCATATCTATGTAAGTAGGTGTTTACTCAGCTACACATACCACTTTTATCCTATTTACAGGGGGGGACGGAATTTTTTATTCTGATTATAAGACATGTCATTAATTTTTTTATAACTTGTTACTTTACCTGTCATTAAATGTTTATGTATAATTTAATTTTAAAAATATGTATATTTAATAATAAGAGCAAAGTTTAAAGTTTGTTAAATTTTTAAACAGAGTTAACCAGATTTAATGTTTTTTTAAAACAAATTGAAAGTGACCTAATTAAATATACAAAGGCAAAACTCGTTGAAGTTGTAAGGACACAGGTATGCAAAAAGAACCGATCAGTGAAACTAAGGTTGGAGGGTTGCTCATAGAAATAAGGAACCAACTTGACCGGAAGTGTCGACTGTAATAGTCCTCCCCCAAACCAAGCTAAAGGCCTCTTAAACCTCACAGTCCAAATTTTACCCAGAAGATAAAGTCGCAATCGAAGTGCCTTTTTCCCACCCCTTTGCCTGGTCTGAAAGTCTGAACTAAGACATTCATTTAAATCAAAGAAGGCGCCCGGGGTTTGTGTATCTACATGTAGATATGCCTGCCTATGATAATATTCTTTCCTCACTTTTTTTAGCCATTTTGGGATGCTTCAACAATCCCCTTTTCATGTCTTTCTTTTCATTTGTCAATGTCAGCGGCTTAAAAGGAATAAATAACAATGAAATGACAAGAAGGCTCTCTCCTTCGTCATTATCATAAACTTTAAATTAATCTTTGGTAACGATGGAAAACTGTCCTCTTGTCATATATGCCATCTTCGTGCGTAACATCCCTGGATGGCCTTGATTTGAATCAATATACTAATATGCAATATAATTACAAGAATATAAAGATAAAACAGGTCTACATATTTACAGCAAAACTACCTCGTAATCTTCTCAACTCTTTCATAATTATTCGGATGGCCTCTTCACATATAGACAGAGAAGACCTGCAACATTCTTCTCAAAATCTCCAACCCAGGAAACCTATATAAATAGGTGCTCCTGAAATCAATCCAAACCATCTCATCTTCCAACTATCATCTTAGTTTTCCTAAATTATAGCATCAAGTTTTCATCTTGATCAGGCTCTCCCAACATGTCTTCCAACAACCTCAAAGCCCTCTCTTTTCTTGTTTCTGCTCTTGCCATTGTGCAGATACTAATGGCAGCTGACCCTGACATTCTCGTCGACTATGTGGCGCCAGACAATGCTGAAGGGAGCTTCTTCACTTTCACTGGCTTTCGCACTATTGCACAGGGCCCACCACCCCCAGCCTTTAGGGTCACAAAGGCAAGCATGAAAGAGTTTCCTGCACTTTTAGGGCAGAGTGTCTCTTATGCTGCCTTACAATTCCCTGCTGGCAGCATCAATCCGCCCCACACTCACCCTCGATCTGCTGAGCTGTTGCTTGTGGCTCAAGGTACCCTACAAGTAGGGTTTGTGGACACTAATAATAAGCTCTTCACTTCCACACTTCAGACGGGAGACATGTTCATATTCCCAAAGGGACTTGTTCACTTCCAACACAATGCTTATGATAATCAGACAGCTTTGGCTCTTTCTGTTTTTGGTAGCGCCAATGCAGGCACAGTGTCCATCCCCAGTACTTTGTTTAACTCCACCATTGATGACAGTGTCTTGGCTTTGGCCTTTAAGACTGATGTTGCCACCATCCAGACTTTGAAGAAAGGCTTTGCTCCCCAGTGAGCTTCATGCGGTCCACTGTAGTAGAGACCGAATCAATGAATCTGTGTGTGTGTGTGTGTGTGTGTGATAAGTAATAAGTGATTCCGCACAAGGGTCTGTGTTCGCAAATTAGTTGATTCGTCATTTGGTTTTGCTGACTCGATATAGTGTTATAATAAGTGTGAAAGATCTGAAAGATAATCGTGTGTTCCTTGAAGAAGGAGATAAGCATTTGTGGATTATCCTTCCAACTAATAAAATTTGTTTGGTCCACTTTGTATATGCTATTTACTTGTGTTACTGTCAATTATTACATTGTCTTTTTTTGAGTGATTTGATAAATCTATTTAATTTTCCTTATTAACATGTTGCATTATTATACTGCAATGTATGGTTGGGGGATATACAAAGCTAATATACAGCTTTAGATGTAACTATGTAAATTCCATTAGGCCACCTCTAGTCCTACACACACATAAGAGAAGGGGGAAGGAAACAATTTAAACAATAAAATATAATATATGATAGGCATGGATTTTATGATATGCTGATCGAAATTGACAGGACATTGCTATAACAAGTAACGAACAATAAAAATCCAAGCAAGACATCATGCAAGACAGCTTTGTTAACTTAAGATAAGATTAAAGCATTAAATTATTAATTAGAGTATATTACTGCTATTTCTTTTTCCCCCTTAACTCTTAACACCTTTTTTTTTTATGCAAAATATTTTTAGCCTTTGTACATGCTGTTCAAGTATGTTGGGTTTTCCTACTTAAATCCCTGGGTCCAACTGGGTCGTTACAGTATGTTGTGTGCATGTGTACCAGTGTACGTGGCCGTGCTTATTATCTGCGTGTTCTTTTAAAGTAGACTTTGGTTTGTGCTTCTTACATAGAATTAAGATAAGTTGTATTATTTATAACTTATTAATCAGGTGACATTTATAAATTTCTCCTGGTTCTTTTCCAAATGAGGATGAGTTTCATATTAGTAATACGGATGTGTGTGCGCGCGCGCGCGCAAAAATGGTTCGATTCCCAGAACATAAATTGTTAACTAGCTAGGTGATGAGATTCGCCCAATTTCCATCAAAAGAACAGAAATCGGTGTTTATTAACCACAAACGAATTTTACAAGCAGTAATTAAAAAGAAATGTCAGAAATATAATGTCCAACCTTGCCCCGAACATTTCTCCTCAAGTAACACATAATTTTATAGCAAACACAGATCCCCTTCTGCGAAGCACTTACCCTTCACTGACCCTACCAACCCAGAAGATGGAACAGCAAATTTGCAGACACAACCCCTTCTTGGCAGAAACATTTATTATTGAAGTGAAAGAATGAAAAAACGGGAACATAAGATCATAACTTTCAACCATGCATGGGTGACTCCCTCAAGCTTAGTTGGGAGAAAAGCCCTTCTTTAAAGTCTGAATGGTGGCAACATCCGTCTTGAAGGCCAAAGCCAAGACAGTATCATCAATGGTGGAGTTAAAGAGAGTACTTGGGATAGACACTGTGCCTGGATTAGCACTGCCAAAAGCAGAAAGAGCCAAAGCAGCTGTTTGATTATCAGCATTGTATTGAAAATGAACGAGTCCCTTTGGGAATATGAACATGTCTCCTGTTTGGAGTGTGGAAGTGAAGAGCTTGGTGGTGGTGTCCACAAACCTTACTTGCAGGGTACCCTGAGATACAAGGAGAAGCTCAGCAGATCGAGGGTGGGTGTGGGGTGGATTAATAAAAGTGCAGGAAACTCTTTCATGCTTGCCTTGGTGACCGTAAAGGTTGAGGTGGTGGGCTCTGTGCAACAGTACGAAAGCTAGTGAAAGTGAAGAAGTTTCCAGCAACGTTGCTGGGGGCAATATAGTCAACGAGAATGTCTGGGTCACCGGCCGTTGTTGTCTGCACAATAGCAAAAGCAGCGACGGCCAGAGAGAGGAGTACTTTAAGGCTAACGGAAGTCATGTTCCGAGATTGTGAAGATGGCAAGGTTGAAGCTTGAAGGAAAAGAAAAGGATGATGGTTTGAGGATGGAGATAGTTTGGCAGGATTAAAGCAATCAATTTATAGCAGAGGTCGGAAATTTTGAGGAGAAAACAATGATTTGCTGGCCATTCAGGTGATTAAAACTTTTGAAGATTACGAGGTAATTCTTTGTTGCAGCTGTAAGCTGTTTGATACTGTCATTTAGCAAGACAAAGGAGCCCATAATGTCGGAAGGATTATACTATATAAACTTTGGAATGGACTTGTATTGTAGGTAGTATTGAAAAAATTACTTGGGCCTTAAAAAAACCAGAAGATGCTTGACCATATCGGACGCGCACACGAGAGAGACAATTTTACCGACTTTATACCTTGAACAAACGTTACTTTATCAGTGGCTTCATGTTTCCAGGTTGATGAACATTTTGTCCTTTCATTACTTTGAACATGATGAACTGGATTGGAACGCTCCCCAGTTTGATGAGACAATAAACTCAATTTAATATTTGAATTGAAATGTCTTGTGATTAGCTGTTTTATCAAGAGGAAAAGTGATTTATTTTATTAGTGTTACAAGAAAAGGCAAGATCTGTAATAAATATATAAGAGGAAAAGTTGAAGTGACTGCTATTGATAAGAAAATAGTAGAAAACCGATTGAGATGGTTTGGTCACGTGCAAAGAAAGTCTTGGAACACATTGGTAAAAAGAGTTAAGCAAACAGTATGGAGTCCTCTAAAAAAAAATAGAGAAAGGCTGAAAACAACGCTTAATGAAGTCATTGAGAGAGGTCTTTCAATTGACAATCTATCCAAAGATTTGGCTTTGGATAAGGCTCAAGAGCATCGTGTGATCCATGTAGCCGACTCCACCGAGTGAGATTGTTGTTGTATCTAAATCACATATACACATTACACTGTAAAATTTTATGATAAGTAATTAAATATGGGCACAAAATCATGAGCCCAATGAGTCCTCTTTGATTTTGGACCAGAAGAAATGTTATGCCCAATATCGCATGTTTGACCTCATTAATCTTGTGGGCTCCAATCTTTTGACCTGCTTGCTTATTTCACATCGCTGGATAATACTGGTCCATAATACAGCGAAGGGCCAAGCCAGTCGATGATTGCGGCTTAGGAGAGAAGACAAACAAAGAGACATAAAAAAATAATATAATTTGTATACTACTTTGCCCTTTAATATAAGAGTTACATAATTGAATTAAGGATATAAAAAAATTAGTTAAATTGATTATTTATCACAAATATCTATTGACCCCCCCTAAACCATCTTTTTCAATCTTGTGTATTGGAATATCCTTTGGCAGAAACTTTTTACAATCAATAAGAAGATTTTTAAAAATTAAGAGACAAAACAAATTAAGATGGTATATACAAAACCAAATCCAATCGTAAAAAAAAAATGTAACAACACAATGATATTCTTCAACGTTTTGTTGTATCAAGGACCTATGTCAAAAATATATACTCTTCTGATCTTTAATATAAGACCTATTTAACTAATTTGATTAGATTAAAGAAGTTAGGTAAGTTAGTTAATTATAAAAAATATAACATGTTTTTTTCTAAAATATCATAATCATTTTCCTTAATATCCTCCTTCCCTCTTCTACTTGATTATGATTGAGAAAATATCCATATGGGTAATTTAGGAAAAAATTTGATAAATATGAGAAATAGGTCTTATATTTATGACTAAAATCAACTCAACAATTAAATCTCATATTAAGAATTAGAGGAGTATATATATTTGACATTAAACACTTGAAGAATAAAGCAAACTAAATAATTTAATGGATTTAGATATAATACTATCTCAAGTCCTTAATATAAGACCCTGTTTGACTTTTATTTTGGTCCTAAATATAACACCCTAATTCACTTTGTCTCTCATTTATACATTTTTTTCCAAAATAGTCATTCTAACAATGATAGTTCTTATCAATACACTTGATTAGCAAGGATAATTTAGGGAAAAAAACACTTATTTAGGACAAATAACTAACTCAACTTACTTTTTTAATTTCCTCAAATTAGTCAACTGGCTCTTATAATTAGGACCGGAGGTAGTATTTTGTAATAACAAACTAATCATTAACCAATAATACTAAGTTGGCAAAAAATTAATAATGCTAAACCGCGGGCTGTAAAAGGTCAAACAAATAATAATACTACTAGAACGGTGCCAATTAGGCAGTTAACATAAAGAAAAAATGCAAAATTTTAATTTGTGGGATTGCTGTGGCCTTCAGCGCTGAAATACATAATCAGAATATCATGAGATTCCAACAAGAAAAGCGTGCCCTCTTTAAACTATTTCTCTCGACTCTCCACCCATTTAATATTTCCGCGGCCGTTCTATCTACCCTTTTCCTAATTTTCTGTACTTTTATATAGAGAAGACTTTTATAGAAAATGATTATCAGATTTCTTATATTTATTATATCAAAATTTTCAATCACACATAGTTATATATGTGCCCCAGTATAACATAATTTTATTTAATTAAATCAAAACAAAGGGATTGTAAATTGATAATGATATTCATAACAATAATTTATTACAGAATAAATTATATATAATCCACAATTCCACGTGTTTACTTTTTTTAAAAGGAAAAAAAAAGAGAAAAGAAAACTGAATGAAAGAAAAAAGTTATAGGAAATGTAGACACGTGATTTTGATTGCTAAAGCTATATACAGGCAGATGCACCCAACCAGAAGCAAGTGAAAGTAACTACTTCCATACTGGCAAAGTGGTTTTTCCTTTGCTTGAACTTTTGTTGGCTTCATTAAATTTATATAACACGCCTTTATTATTATTTTCCGCCATTAATAAGATTTCTTCCTCACATAGTTTTGTTCGGGGAAATAACCTAAGCATAGTATTTATAAAATCTTTAACAAAAACCACTCTTCGACTCATTTTCATATTCCATGTAACACTCGATTTGAATTAGTGAGTAAGAAATATGAAACGAGTTTCTTTTTATGTGAATATATATATACAAGGGCCAGACTTTTGGAATTTTGTGTAGAAATTAATATAATTAACGTGAATACACATGACATTCATAAATTGAATCATCTTTATTTGTATGTGGTGTTTCCTTCCTGTTCAAGCAGACGGCCCTCATCATCATGAATATCAACAACATCTTACGGTTCTTCAATGCTCTGAGTTAATGGCCAAATTTGACTTTTTAACTCTATTTTCTGATGTTCAATTTCTCCTTCTACCATACGTAATTTTATGTGGACAATAATATTTCTCCTACTCGATTATTTGGGGGGGAAAAAAAGTAAGTCGGTGCATTATACCTTCTTTAATTTGCATATGTATACTGCCTTTTTCGTAGGATTAATTAATGGTTAATTTTCTAACACAGATTACTTCCATCATATATTTCAACCAAACAAGGGATAATGAATTTGAATTGAGGTATGATTAGGATTGAATATAACTAATGCCCAATAAAAACAGAAGGGAGAATTATAATGATGTTTCGAGAAAAAAAATAATTACTAAAAAATCTTAATAACAATCTGAACAATACAAGTTTTAAAGTAAAAAATAACAATTTGCAGGACGTATTTTGTAACTGTTTTTTTTTTTTAAATCTCATTGTAATTCTCTCAAAACGTAAAAGAAAAAAGTAATTGGAGTTGAAGAGAGGTTGGAAGTGAAGAGGGAATGGTTCGAAGGCTCATGGGACGGGTAAATTTAGGCTAAAAGCCAACAAGTTTTGCATAGTCATTTCATTCATTCACAGTGAAAAGTTTTAGTTTTGACCATATGCATGATCATGATGCAAAGTTTCTATATGCTGGTCAGCCCCCTTATAGAATTCGAAACCGAAAAAAAAAACTTAAAATATAGTACACACCATATTTTTTATTTTCAGTTTTTAACTAATTTATTCTCCATTCATGTAACTGCATGGATATTATCTTGTATAATCAAAGAAAAAAGAAAAAAGTTATCATTGCATACCCATGCAATAAAGTAATGAGACAGTAATTAGCAATTCTTAGATATTGATTAAAATTAAGAAGTTAGTGAAAAAATAAACTAAACTTAGTGCGGATTATATTATAAATAGAAAAGATTTATAAGTAAACATGTGAGTGTGTCGATTTATGGCGGTCGATCCAGCTTTTGGAGCGCCTAACATGGATAAAAGTTGAAGAATATATATGCACAGAAGGGGGAACCTAAGAGTGAGTGAATAATGTTATTTAATGATGAATTGATATGAAAAGAAAAAATGGATGAATTACCAGACGATAAGGGAAGTGAAATGAAGTGAGTGTGTGTGTGTGTGTGTGAGCGCAATAAGTATAGATAGCAAGTTAGCAACCACTAATGTGGGCTCAAGGACTGTTCCATTTAATGCATATGCCCTCACATATATCTATTTATAACCTCCCCTTCTTGTCTTCTCTATCAAATCACTTTTTATTACGTGCTACACAGTACTCTCTCTGTTCATCCATGGCGTTTCATCGGTCTCGTCTCATCATCACGCTTCTTCTCTTTGCATTTGCTGAAGCTTCTGCATCCCAACTGCTCAGCGCCAAAGTCTCTTGCTTTGATTGTACCATTCCCAGCCAATATCTCTCTCGTAATTTCTTCCCCTTAATCTAACCCTCAACCTTCATTATTCGTTCATATATATTGTTGCATGCGTGTCTCTGCATATATATCCTCTGTAACATTAGGTGAGATTTAAATTTCTATGCTAAAAACGGAATGAGCTGGTTAACGTACTCGTTCAATATGCATGGTATTATTGAAATCAATAAATTATCTTATTCACTTATTTTAGTTTGATTAACACATTTTTTTTTCAATATTGGTATACGTAGAAGTAGAATTTCTTATAATCTTCGCGAGTTTAACCCATGTAAAATAAAAATCAGTTACTTCGTCTATATTTCACACAAGACTTTCACGTGTGAAGGTATGTTAAGTATTATAATGTCATAAAAAAGATTCTTAATTAGTTAATTAGAATAAGTATTATTTCTGGCTTTTACTGGAAAACCTCCGTAATGCTAGGGACCATAATATTATTATAACAAACACAATTTCACTTTTTTTTTTTTGTAGAGATTTCACTTATCAGATCCTTAATATAGAAGTTAATTTTGGAGTTGATGTTGATTTTATATATAAGACCTATTTTACATGTTTATCAATTTTTTTCCAAAAATAACCCCATTGATATTCCATAAAAAATAATCAAGTAGGAGAGAGCTAGAAGGAATTAAGAAAGATACTTAAGGTATTTTAGAAAAAAACTTATCATATTAACTTATTTAATTAAAATTTTGAATCTACTCAAATTAGTTAATTAAGTCTTCTATTAAGGACCGAAGTAGTATCGGAATATATAATACGATCTGCCCATAGCACGATCTTTTTCTGTATTAAAAAAATTCAACCCAACTTGCGCAGAGAAGCTTCAAGCTTCTGAATTGAAAACAATGATGAGTTATGTTTCTTGGTTGAATAATACAATGGTGACAGAGATCAAGGTCTCAGTGAAGTGCGAGAATGTGAGAAAAGTGGCAGTGGCAACCACAAAAGACGATGGCTCCTTCAAAGCGGACCTTCCAAGAGACCCCAAAAACTGCGTAGCAGAACTGCTTGGAGGACCCAGTCAGCTCTATGCTTCAGAGAAAGACAAAGTGTCCCCAGTCGTGAAGGGCACAGAGCCCAACACCTATACCATTTCCACGCCCCTTGGCTTCCTTACATCTTGCCCTAAGAACTCACTCTGTGAGGCCGCGAAGCAGTTTGGTGCGTCAGAAACCTTCGATCTTCCTCTTCCTCCGGAGTGGGGCTTCGCACCTTCTAGCTACTACGTCCCTTTCTTCCCCATCATTGGAATCCCTTAGTCATTGTCTCATCATTATATTATAACAAATGTGTGGTTATTATATATGTGTTTATGGTTATGTACTCGCACTACAGAACGTGCGATTTTATACGTTGTATTGTTCTATATGATGAAGCTGTCGGCTTCGTTATTTAATACTCTCTTGTGCGCTTTATCTTCTCCAATACTTCTAGTTCAAATTAAAAAGATTATATAGCCTTATGTCTTTAATACAAAAGCTAGTTAAGTAATTTAAGTGGATTAAAAAATTAGTTAAGTTAGTTATTTGTAATAAAAATGTGTTATCTTTCCTAAGATATATTTACTAACCAAACATATTGATTAAAAACCATTACTACAATGACTATTTTGAAACAAAATCGATAAATATGAGAAATAAAATAGATTGAGGTTATATATTTAAGACTAAAATAAAAATCAAACAAACTCTTATATTAAGAACCAGAACTACTATATATATGTTAATGGTTTCACTGCGTCAGGCATGCAGGTCGATCTTAACCTCCGGCAAAGAGATTAGAGAAGTACAACGATGGGTCCTAGGACCTGGCCGGCATTGATGATGGAAATTACCACTCATCGAACAATATGGGGGAAAACAGAAAGGACAGTAACATTAATTATAAACAAGACGTGTTGTCTATAGAAACATGTTGGCCAATACCGGCCGCAAAGCTGGAACTAGCAATCTCGTAAAATTTCTTAAAATATTACTCAATCTCTTAATATTATTGAGTACCTTTTTTGTTTTAATCTTGATTGTGCGTGTGTGTGTGTGTTTATAGTCTGACTCAGTCAAAGTTGTCGGCTATGTTCATGGCTGTGCTGATCTTCATCATCATGGAGCTCGCCAAAGTAGAATTTCACTGCTTAATTAACTAGTCGCGTGCCTTGGAATAATATAATGTGACCCGCATCTCATGTTACTTATATTTGTGTGATTCACGTTCCTTGGAATAATATAACATGATGTGTAGGTTTAGTTTGGTGGTAATTAGTTAAATGTGAACATATAATGTATATGTAGCTCATATATATGTGTGTGTGTGTGTACGTACGTGTCGGGCCCTAAATTTGATTTTTCAAAGGAAAACTGGATTAATAAAAACATGGAGTCCTTGGATTTGGGAGTCAGTTGTGCGGTTGGGAAGATTTTAGACACCTCATAACACATTATTAAAATGATTGATTATTTAAGATGCATGATTGTGCAAAATTAATAAAACAAAATTATCCAGACATATTAAATTGTTCATATCTATGTAAGTAGGTGTTTACTCAGCTACACATACCACTTTTATCCTATTTACAGGGGGGGACGGAATTTTTTATTCTGATTATAAGACATGTCATTAATTTTTTTATAACTTGTTACTTTACCTGTCATTAAATGTTTATGTATAATTTAATTTTAAAAATATGTATATTTAATAATAAGAGCAAAGTTTAAAGTTTGTTAAATTTTTAAACAGAGTTAACCAGATTTAATGTTTTTTTAAAACAAATTGAAAGTGACCTAATTAAATATACAAAGGCAAAACTCGTTGAAGTTGTAAGGACACAGGTATGCAAAAAGAACCGATCAGTGAAACTAAGGTTGGAGGGTTGCTCATAGAAATAAGGAACCAACTTGACCGGAAGTGTCGACTGTAATAGTCCTCCCCCAAACCAAGCTAAAGGCCTCTTAAACCTCACAGTCCAAATTTTACCCAGAAGATAAAGTCGCAATCGAAGTGCCTTTTTCCCACCCCTTTGCCTGGTCTGAAAGTCTGAACTAAGACATTCATTTAAATCAAAGAAGGCGCCCGGGGTTTGTGTATCTACATGTAGATATGCCTGCCTATGAATCACAAATGTGAAATACAGACCTGACAAATACATAACTCATAAATCAATATTGTCCTTAAGAATATCTTGACCACATTTCAATTTCAAGAAATTTTGTGCGGGACATGATAAAATAAAGCGTTTATGCAATGGAGTGAGAGTCGATAAAATAAACTCAAAACTATGATCCTCGTTCATCTTCTTTATTAATTGTTTTTTTTAAAGGCTAAAGTATATATTTGGTCTTTTAACATTGTACAAAGTTTTAATTTGGTTCCTTAATTTTAAAAAGTATATTTTTAATCCTTTAATCCTAATTTTTTTTTAGAAAATGATGACCTTAAGATCTTAAATGTTGATAAAATATTCTCAAATGCTAACATATTAAGTTTAATTTTCAAAACATATATAATTGTTACAAAAAATCATCACTCAAATCTAATGATTTTAGGACTAAAGGATCAATTCTATGATTTTTAAAGTTAAGAGACTAAATTAAAACCTTATAAGAAGTTAAAAGATCAAATGTATACTTTAGGTTTTTGTAAAAAATGAATAATGTGAAGATTTTTAAAATATATAAATACAAAATAGGTAAGTGGACTTGATAGAATTAATTACATACGACATGACCTGTTTTAGGGTCTGAATGTATATATTTAAATAGTAAGATTTATCATTGAAATATTGTGCCTTTTTGAGTTTTAAATGAATAAAATTAATTATTACTCATTTTGTCCTATTTATAAATCATTTTTAACATGTTTGATGTTTCATACAAATCGCGAAAAATCTTAAATTTCATTAGTTTTTATTTAAAATTTAACAGTTTTTCAACTTTTTCCTATTTAATACATATTATATTTTATATAAACAAAGCCGATATAATAATAAATAAAATATAAAATTATATATTTATATAAAAAATTCTTTAAATACCTTATAAATAGGATATAAATAAAATTAGAAGAGTATTTAAATAAGTGGAACAGATGACCACGTAGAGAATTTACCGGGTCATAGGCCCACTCGTAGCTGATAAGGAAGAATATTCCGTTAAAATCCAAAAGAAAAAGTGGTGGGACCGAGGTGGGCCCCTCAGATAAGCCCGAATGGCAAGATGTACGCGGAAAGACGAAGGAAAGCGATAGCGTAGTTTGGTTTGGTGAGCAGAGAAAGGCAGCGAATAATGGCCACACGTTTCGCTGTTGTCCTTTTCTCCCGCATTGAACCTTTCCTTCCCCCAGAATACGTGAAATTACTGTCAGATTTTTTTTTTTAAAATAATGCACCGTCACCCAATTTGTTATTATTTTTTATATAATTCTATTTATAATATCTTATTTATATACTATAAATAAGAATTGGGGGCAGTAAAACTTATCATTCATTGATTATGCAGTGATTTTCTCTAATATTTACCCCTGCTCCCATCTCCAATATAGTAATCTTAATCCTTCCCTCATTCCTCAATTCATTTCACCCCTCCATATATATTTTTTCGCTGATTCATTACATTACTCATCACTTCCTTAACTGGCATCTCCACCACCGCCGTATTCGTTTATCTATTTGCTATTGATAATTAATTAAAATTACGTGGAATTGATTTGATACGAGACGATCACTTTTAATTTAAAGATACTTGGAAAAATTAAATGGATTTCAATGCGCTGAGTTAACCCTGATTTGATAGAGACTTATGCATTTGGCAACCGGATTATAGATTTTTTTTTAAAAAAAAAACATCATGTTAGCTGATCTTTAACAGCATTAATTATTGTGTCATTTGCCATTATAATTTGGGTAATTATAGAATTATAGGCTCCGTCTGTATTTTCGGCATACAAAACTTTAAAAAAAAAAAAGGGTCTCAGTCTGTATAAAAAACTACGTTTACTACATGTGTAACAAGTTGATTCGGTCCTTAAAGTAGAGACAAAAATGGATGACGTAGCGTACAGAAGTCTTCAGTACGCAAAGCATACGCAGGAGACTTTTGTTGGACTTTTTGGCGAATTAATATAAGATTTACAAAATGTATCTGGATTATCTGAGAATTATTTGAATTATTATTTTAGAAGGGAAGCCAAAAAATCAAGGTCCCATAAAATACATAGATGTCAAATGTCAGATGGATCTTTCCATAAAAGGATCGTGTTCTTGTACGTGGGTGGGACCAAGCACATGTTTTGACATTGCCCTTTGTGGCCCAAAGTTATGCCCAAAGACCAAGTCCCGTTTACATTGCTTATAATATCCGGGTAGTCTCTATGACCCTCTCAACAATACGGGCTCGCCCTCGGCGTTTATTTTTCTTGAATAAAAAACCCGCCCCTTTAAATTTAGGGCAAAGTAATATGGAGCACCTAATATTTTTTTTTAGTTACATCCAATATCCGAGTTTTATTTATAGCCTATTCATTATCCTAATGTTATACTACCTCCGGTCCTAATTATAAGAGCCAGTTGACTAATCTGAGGAGATTAAATAAGTAAGTTGAGTTAGTTATTTGTCTTAAATAGGTGTTGTCTTTCCTAAAATATCCCTGCTAATCAAGTGTATTGACTAGAACTATCATTGTTAGAAGGGCTATTTTGGAAAAAAAAGTATAAATATGAGAGATAAAGTAGATTGGAGTCTTATATTTGAGACCAAAATAAAAGTCAAATAGGGTCTTGTATTAAGGACCGGAGGTAATATTTTTTATTAGTATTTCAATGTCATAGTACTCGTTTCAGTTTAAAATATAAAATAAACTTTATCTATTTACGTTTATCAGGAAATTAGTTAAATTCAATTTAAAACCGTAAATATACAAGACATGTATTTTTCTCTAAATATGCCCTTATTAATGAAGAAATAAGTAAAAGATATAATAAATGAATAAAAAAATGAAATATGTGTTAAGGTAAAATGAGAATGCTTACGTAAAAATGAATGTTATCTTATAAAAAAAAAAACTAAATCTTTCTCACAAAGTTCATGTTATATTTTGAACTGAAGGAAATATTATTTATAATCCATCTGGGATTCAGCATCGTAAACCATAAATATGATTAAAGATACTAGATATAACTAGAAGATAACATCAAGAGTATTGGATACACAAATAAAATAACATCAGGTGTTGAATGTAAATAACACGGATACTAGCTTACTCGTAGACTTATGCGTATAACTTGAAATGATTTTGCCGTATATTTAAACATTCATATATAAATTACTTTCATAGAAAATAATAAACATGTAACTCATCAGTATAAAATATAAAATTCATAATAAGTCATACTGCTTTTAAATTTATAAAAATATTTTAGATGGGTTGGGCGTAAG